CAAAACTAAACATTAACAAAAAAAAAAGACATCATGAATTATGAACACAGAAATCTATTTTAAAGCAAATCATACCTTTTTTTATTTGTTTAAAAAAGGCAACTACTAATTTTGGAAATGTACATTTATTATTACGTAGTTAGTCCAACAACTCGCGATTAGTATAAACACCAATCAAGATCAATTAGCAGGTTCTATTGATAATATTGAGGATGGTGTCGCTAATCTCACCGAAAATGTATCTGAAATCAAAGAGGATATTAAGAAAATTGCTGTGATGTTAAAAGGATTTGAAGATTTTTATGTACTAAAAAACATGATTGAAGCTCAAATGGAAAGTGCTTTGAAAAAAGATATTATCGAAAAACCATTAAATCTACATGATTTATCCAGAACGGAGGAAGAACGTGGTAATACCCGAAAATGGATAAGAAATTCTGATAATTATGAAGTGGCTTTTACTGAAATGAATTCCCTTCCGGAAGACATTTATTTTGAAATCAAATCAGTATGCTAAAAAGACTTCAAGAGTCACGTGATATAATCCAATTTTTTAACTACCCCAGGTGCGGAGGATCTACGGACAGTTCTTAGGGACAGATTAAATCACGTGAATTACTGGTTAGGGACAGTTAGGGACAGTTAAGGTTAGTGGTTTTAGCAATATCACGTGAATTTGAACTGTCCTTACTGTCCGTAAGAACTGTCCGTAGATCCTGCGCCCCAGGTCGCCAACAAAATTTCACAGTCACATGATGATCTACATCAAATTATCCAATAATTAATCACAATTTTGTGCAACGTAACACGATTACGAAGATCCGTCAGTTTTGTCAAAAATCGCTTATTTCTCAAAAATTTACATAAAAAACTGCCTTTTATGCACTAACAAAAAAAATTCCTCGAGTAATTTTACTATACCTCCATCACTCACTAACATTAATTTAAACGCTAACCCTAAAATAAAAGATTTTTCCAGGATCACGTGACAGTGAAATTTTGTTGGCGCACCTGGGTAAGATCAATTTTTTGGTATAGTTGAAAATGAGCGTCTATCAAAAACTTATTTGGTTACAGAATGGTCAAAATATGGTAGTTTAGAAGAATATTATAGAAATGAAAAACTTGAAAACTCACTAAAACTACAAATTGCGATAGATATTGTACGTGGACTTAATTTTCTTCAAGCGTACAAGATTTTACATCATGATGTGCGAAGTGCTAATATCATGATCGATTCTCATAAACATGCTAAACTGGCCAATTTTGGTATGAGCCGTCGCTTTGCTGACGCCTCAAAAAACCTTAAAAACGTCATTGATGCTAGTAGATATAAGGCTCCTGAAAAAAATAAAATATAGTGATTACAAATATGATTCAAGATGTGAAGTTTTTAGGTATGATTTGCTTTAAAATAGATTTCTGTGTTCATAATTCATGATGTCTTTTTTTTTTGTTAATGTTTAGTTTTG